AAGACGAAAACCACATGATTATCTCAAAGATGCAGAGAAGGCCTTCAACAAAATTCAACAGCCCTTTATGCTAAAAACTCTCAATAAACTAGGGATAGCAGGGGGTGGGAAGATTGGGGAGGGATAACATTAGGAGAAACACCTAATGTAGATGATCGGGACATGGATGCAGCAAACCCCCATGGCACACGCATACCTATGTAACAAACCTGCATGATCTACACATGTACCCCAGAACTTAAAAGTATAATAATAATTTTTTAAAAATTTAACAATTTTACTGTATGAGCTTAAGCAGGAAAACAATATTATACCTATAGACAGGAATGCTGAGTCATTCCACTTAAATTAAGGGAAAAGTATCTTGAACTATAGCCCCATTGTTACTGCAACAACAAACTTTGGTTTCACATTTCCTCTTCATCTCCCAATCAGCCTCTATTTAGGTCAATTCTAATTTTATACGAATTTTCTTCTGCCTAATAGGTCCCTTCAACACCATTTCCTCCAATGACCCTGTTTATATCTGCCAAGAACATTAGTCCTTCAAATCAGTTACGGAGATATCAAGGCCAGACTCGTTCAAATGCAGCTAAAAACTTAATTCACACTTGAGAAATGCAGCCTTTTCCTATCTGGCTATATCATCCTGTCACATTTCTATATTTGTACCTAAACATCAGCACTGATGTACCAGGTGCCTGCATTCAACCCCAGAAGTCATTTTTTCTTTGAACTTGATGTTCCTTCCACTTGATTACTAATTACTGACTCTTTTTTTTTTTTTTTTTTTTTCAGATATCAATTTATCTCTTTGGAGAGACCTTCTCTGTCACCCTATTCTTAAGCAACAACTCAGTCACCACTATAACTTTTAAAATCAAATTCTCTGTAGAGCATTTAACACTAGCTGATATTTTAAGTTTTAATGGAATGTTAGAATGTTTATTGTTTATCTTTCCCACTGGAATATAGGTTCCATAAGAGCAGTGACCTGTTAGTTTTGCTCACTTCATGAACTAGAACTAGACCAGGCTATATAATAAATTAGCAATTAATAACTGTTAAGTGAATGGAAAAGATAATAGAATATGAACTAAATATTTTATCCATGCTGTCTTAGATGGAGGCATAGAATTGGGCCAAGGAGAGGTATTTAAATTATTTGTTATATAATATCTCGTTTACATCATTTCTATCTTTTCTCTAGGGCTTTGTACATGTGAACCTTGGCTTCTGTCATTTGCTACATGAATTTTCACAATGCAAATACAATCATGTAACCAAGGCTGATCTCAAGAAAAGAACATTACCAGTATCCCAGGTGCTCCCTTTCTTCTCTCTTCCACTTATCATCTCCTATATGAGATAATGTCAAGTTGAAGTCAAGTTATCTTGGCTTCAAATGGCAGAGATTGTTTCTGCCTGTTTATGCACTTTAGAGAAGTGGAATGATACAGTACATATTGATTGTTGATTGGCCTCATTTACTCAAATATGTATGTGAGATTCATTGACATTGCTGTGTGCAGTGGTATTTTGTTGTTTCTCATTATACTAGTGTACAACTTTTAAAGTTCAACACTCATTAACATATTAAAACATAAATTCATTTTTAATACTCATATTAATAACAAAATTTATATAAGGAAATTTAGATTCACTTCAATTCTTTACTCTTTTCAGATAATTTTCTCTATGATGAAATTCTTACAGCAAATAACTTTTTTCAAGTTTTTTAATTCACATTGACAGCTTATTCAAAAGAAAATATTAACAATTCATTTTATTATCAAATGTATAAGCCAGTATTTGCCTTCCAAATTTCTTCAGCAAATGTGGATGTTACCGTCCTTTTAAAAATTTGTGTCACTTGATAATTTATGATATTTTATTGATCTTTTTAACTTCTATACTTACTAATGAATGCATGGTTTTCCATGTTTATTGGCTGGTTTTGCTTATTTTATGAATAACTATTTATGTCTGATTCATTTTTTAAGTGGAGCATTCATCTTTTTTATTGATTGGTTGAGCAAACATTAATTCTTGATCTACTCAGGTTTCCTAAGACTGGTTCCATTTTGATAAATTGTATTTGCCTAGAGAATTGTCCATCTTACTGAGGTTTCATAATGAATGCACAGTGGCATCTTGTGATTCTAATTTGCATTCTGCTGATGACTAATTCATTTAGATTTTAAAATGGATTAGCAACATTTTAAAATTCTGTTCTGAATCTGACTTTAATTCTTGAGATTTGATTAGATCTTTCATACATAATTATTAGAAAAGTTTCAAGTGCTTACATATATACAGGATACATTCTGTCTGTGATCTAAAGTTTTATTTTTCATTTTCTTTAACAATAAAATACAGATTAGAGAACAATATAACTCAAATGTGTCACTTTGCCCTTTTGATTTAGCTCCTCCAAAGGACCATGCAAGCATTTTTGTGCCCACACTTTCCAACGCTGTGAGCTCCATTGAAAAGGAAATTCTTCTAACAGAGAACCATGAAAAGAAGTCTTCTACTAGATGTAGGAAAAGGAACGAGGCGTCAGTAAACGTCAGTCTAGCAGACAGATTGGTGGGATAAATAAAAAACGAGGAAGGCTTTAGACCTTGGGACCAGGAAATGAGAATGTGGAATTATTAGAATGTTTTCCTAAGGCCATGAAACAAACAAAAAAAATTAAAATAGTGTTGTTGCTATTAAAATAAGTTTTCTTAAAGTCCAGTTTTATTTACAAAATGACATTGAACATAGAGGCAAGATGCTATTCTGCAAAATAAAGAATAAGATTTTTTAAATATATTATGGTTGCATTTTTTCTCAAGAGAGAAATTGAGTTTTCATGAGGATATACATATGAAAATGGAACCTCTTAAATACTGGAATGTATCACTTAGAGGTCATATGAAGAATTTGAAAATCATATGAAGAGATTGTGATTAAAAAATTAAATCTGAGATGATTTAAATGTTATTCAAGTTATAAGTGGAGGCTAAAATGAAGGTTTTTAAATATAAATTGTAATTATTCAGATGAAGATTTTAAAGTTATTTAGGGTAAGTGCTACTGGCAACATTGCTTTTCATAAGAGTTTTATAGAAAAACAAATATGTATCAATAAATGAATTAATAATCATTGATCCATGAATTCATTCAGTGAAAATTTAATTATTTGCATTCAATGTGTAATCAGAAAATTTGTATTTAAATCTTAGAAGCAATGCTTCTTAACTCTACGCCAGCTTTTTGTTTAAATTTGTAAAGTAAGGTAAAAAACACTTATTTCACGGTATTTTGAGGATCAACTTATAGATAACATATATAAATTTCCTAGCGTAGGACTGAGCAAACAGTAAATAGAAACATAAGTTATCCTTCCCAGTCTTCCTAACTGTAAAATTATGATAGTATCTTTTTTTTTTTCAGAAATGCTATGCAGAATAATGTGAAGTAGTTACTGCATCTATCAAAATACCTGGCAGCTAAATAGTAAGAGTTCAATCATTCTTTTATTCTTTCCTGACTTCCTACAATTTAATTTCCATATCAACAATATTTGCTTAGCATCTACTATCTGCACTAGGTCCTAAGCCATGAGGGTAAACAAGGCAAATGTGATTTCTACCCTCGAAGAATGTATAATTTGGACTTGAGAGGAAGAAAGATTAATTAATTAATTACAATTGATTGTAGGAGGAAGGAAAAAGCCTTCGCTATGAATTCAGTTGACTTTTAAGTTTGTCAATGCAGTGCTAGGTACTGGAAATAAAAAACTTAAGTGTATTTGCTTCAATTTGCTTTGGAAAACTAGCCCATTTATACACCTCAGTGACATCCTAATCCTGTCTCAGCTCTACCTCATTTGTGTTCTATTGTTCATGTGTACTTTTTATCCTTCTTGGCATTCAGAAAAAGGTGAATGTCTGTTGACTATTTTGCTATAGCAGTATTCACATTTACAAAGTCTGAATGGTAAATGGTTGATCACTATAGTTCAAGTGGAAGGTTGCATCCTTGGCAAATAGAATGTGACCCAAAAAAAAGGAAATAGTAATGTGTTAGGCCATTCTTGCATTGCTATAAAGAAATACCTGCAACTTGGTACTTTTTAAGTAAAGAGGTTTAATTGGCTCACAGTTCTGCAGGCTGTAGAGGAAGAATAATGCCGACATCTGCTTCTAGGAAGATCTCAGAAAGCTGACAATCATGATAGAAGGCAATGGGGAGTAGGCATATCACACAGCAGGAGTGAGAGCAAGGAGGCAGGGAAGGGCCACACAATTTCACCAGGTCTCATGAGAACTCACTCATTACTACGAGGACAGCACCAAGCCATGCATGATCTGCCCTCACAACCCAATTGGTTCCCACCAGGCTCCACCTCCAACTCCAGAGATTATATTTCAACATGATATTTGGCAAGGAAATATATCCAAACTACATCATTTCACTCCTGTCTCCCCAAACTTCATGTCCTCCTCACATTGCAAAATACAGTTATACTTTCCCAATACTCCCCCAAAGTCCTAACTCATCCCAGCGTTAACTCAGAACTACAAGTCCAAAGTCTCATGTGGAAACGCGTTCCTTCCATCTGTGAGCCTGTAAAGTCAAAACAAGTTATTTACTTCCATGATACAATGGGGATACAAGTATTGGATAAACATTCCTGTTCCTAAAGGGATTAACTGGCCAAAAATAGGAACTACAGGGCTCATACAAGTCTGAAACCCAGCAGGGCAGTCATTAAATTTTTTTTTTTTTTGAGACTGAGTTTTTGCTCTTATTGCCCAGTCTGGAGTGCAGCGGCAGGATCTCAGCTCACTGCAACCTCCACCACCTGGGTTCAAGTGATTTAAGCCTCCCAAGTAGCTGGCATTACAGGCACCGGCCAACACACCCAGCTAATTTTTTGTATTTTTTTTTAGTAGAGATGGGGTTTTGCCATGTTGGGCAAAAGGTATTTTAAATTTTGTCAGGCAATGGTAACTGAAGCTTCTACTTATCTGTTTTATGCCACCAAACGAAGAACTTATTTCAGGAATGTAAGCATTTTAATTCCAATGACCTGGAAATCAAAACCTGAGTACTTAATGCCAAAACAAGAATCATATGACCAGGTAGGCTATTTCATCTAACTCCTAAACTGCTTCTTTCCTCCTGTGCTTTTAAAAACTCAGTATTTGTAATTCTTTATTAATTACTAATCACTAATTTAGTAATTAAATTAATAATATAACATTTTGTAATGGATATGAATAGAAGTCCTTTTTCTAAAATCTCGTTTCTGTACCTCTTGAAATTTGTTTTTGTTTGTTCTTTCGCTTTTTAGGCAGATGTCATAGTTGCTGATCCTTACCTGAAATACGGAGATGATCCCTATACACTTCAATATGGACAATGTGGAGAAAAAGGACAATATATACATTTTACTCCAAACTTCTTGTTGAATAATAATTTGCCTATCTATGGGCCTCGAGGTAGAGATATCTATGATGTGCTTCTGTTCTTATTTCCACTGGTGAAAAAAAGAACACTATGTTTAATGGTATTTTAAACAATTTTTAAAGAAGCCAGGCACAGTGGCTGACACTTATCCCAGCAACTCAGGAGACTGAGGTAGGAGGATCACTTGCACTCAGGAGTTAGAGACCAGCCTGGACAACAGAGTAGAGCCCCCAGTCTCTAAAAAGCTAAAAGTAAATTTTAAAAACTAGCCAGGCATTGTAGCACATACCTGTAGTCCCAGCTACTTAAGAGGTGAACGCAGGAAGATTGCTTGAGGCTAGGAGCTTGAGGCTGCAGTGAGCTATGATCAAGCCGCTGTACTCCAACCTGGGCAACAGAGCAAGAACAAGATCCCATCGTTTAAGAAAACAAAATTAAGAAGAGAAAAATAGCTATTAAGTAATATCTTTACTTGAAAATATGCTAGTTACATTCTTAATTATATCTCTCTGTGGTGTGTGTGTGTGTGTGTGTATGTGTGTGTTAAAACAAAATGAGTCATTTATTGGCACTTATTTCAACTGTTTTGACCTAATAAGAGGCATCAATTTCTGGAGTACCCTGACTCAATTAGGTTGGGGAGAGGTTAAAGAGAAATATAAGAAAATTGTCTTAAAATATTGTAACTATGAATATACAAATGGCAGTATTTCTCACAGGCAGAGTATTTGTCCACAAGTGGGCACATCTCCGGTGGGGAATACTTGATGAGTACAATGAGGACCGGCCATTCTATATTTCCAGAAGAAACACTATTGAAGCAACAAGGTATCATTATATTGAACAAATCTGTTTTCAAAATTTTTTTTCTTATGACTCACTAATTTTCTATGCTAGGCAAACAAAGGCTGTCTCAGGTAACTACCTGAGAATGTTTATACAGTTCATTGCAATAGCCAACCTGCCCCATCATGTATGTCTCCAATTAATTCTAGAGATTCTACCTTGGCATCAAGATCAATCAGAAACAGAAAACAATTTCAGTATTCACAGGGACCATGCTAAAACATGTTATGGGCAGAGGAGAAAGGAAAAAGCTGTAGGCTAAACCACAAGATATCTGAGAATAGGTGTTCAACCCTACCCACTCTTGTTTCACTTGGTTCATCACTTTTTAAGAGAAATCTGTTTCACTGAAATCAGTTAAGCTGCTAGAGCTTCTTTGTAAATATAATATTATACTTTTCATTTAATCTTGATCTTAAAGAAAAGGAAGTACTTTTCGTACTTCCTTTTCTTTAAGATCAAGATTAAATAAAAAGTATAATAAGGATATACTTATTAAATGAAAAGATCAAGATTAAATGAAAAGTATAATAAGGATATACTTATTAAATGAAAAGTATAATAAGGATAATAATAAGGATAAGGTATTAAATGGATTTTTTTTCTAAATATAATTCTAGGTGCCACAGGCACTATTATGAATAGATGAGATGTTGAAAGTAAACGTACTCCACTAGGCAATGCTTTGATTGAGACTGCCTTTGCAAAATTATGACTAAGACAGTGAAAGAGATCTAACTTAATTGGCTCCATCTTGCTTCTAACCTCCAAGCTGTTCTTGTTCATTCTTGGGAGTAGGTTGAACTAAATTTGGGAAAAACTTAATTTATAGTTTATAGTTTACAACAAAGATGGTAACATTCCTTTCCCAAAGCAGACCTCTATCATGCCTGGGAACGAGATTTCCTCTGTAGAAGTAACATTAGCCACAAGATTGGAAATTACATTTTAGGAGTCATGCAGCTAGAGGCTACAAGACTCTGACCCTCCCTAAACTGCTCCTGAGATCAGTGCTTGAGGTATTTTGCAAACCCTGGATTAATAGATCAGCCACCATCCAGATCGATACTGGCTCACATAATATTGTAGACACGACCTGGCAACTGATTCAACTCAAGAAGAAGCTTAAACTCCCTATGATAGCATCCCTGACAAATCAGCATTCCTGTCTCACTGGATTTCCTCCACCCACCAAGTTGTCCTAAAAAAATCTGCTCCGCAAATGCTTGGGGAGACAGATTTGAGTAATAATAATACTCCCGTCTCCTGCAAAGCCAGCTCTGTGTGAAGTACTCTTTCTCTATTGTAATTCCTTTCCCTTGATGAATTGGGTCTGTCTAGGTAGCAGGCAAGTTAACCCATTGGGCAGTTACACAGTGGGGACTGTGTGTGGAGTCTTCAATATCACATTTTCCCTCTGCACTGTGCTGATAGAGTTTCTCTGTAAGGACTTCTCAGATAAAATTGTCATAGAACATTTTCTATCACCTGTCATAGAAAATTTCTCTCAGGTTTATACAGCAGATTTCTGCCTGAGCACCCAGGATTTCTTATACGTCCTTTGAAATCTAGGTGGAAGCCTCCAAGCTTCCTTCACTCTTACATTCTGTGCACCTACAGGCTTAAAACAACATGGAAGCCGTGAAGGATTATGGTTTGCACTCTTTGAAGTGGTAGCCCAAGCTGTACCTGGGTGCCTTTGAGGCATGGCTTCAGCTGGAGCAGCCATGAGGTGAGGAGCAGCCTCCTGGAGTGGCACAGGGCTGTGGCATCCCTGGTCTGTCTCCTGAAACCATTCAGATCTTTTGGACTCCTGGGTCTGTGATGGGAGGGGCTGCCTCAGAGATCTCTGAAGTGTCTTCTAGGCCTTTTCCCCATTGTCTTGGCTGTTAGCACTTGGCTCCTTCTTATTTATGCAAGTTTCTCTAGCAAGTGGACACTCCACAACTTGCTTTAATTCCTATCCTGTAAATGGGCTTCTCTTTTCTACCACATGGCTACGCTGGAAATTTTCCAAATGTATATGCTCTGCTTCCCTCTTAAATGTAAGTTTCAGCCCAGTGAAGTGACCCACGCCTGTAATCCTAGCACTTTGGGAGGCCAAGGCAGGCGGATTGCCTGAGCTCCGGAGTTCAAGACCAGCCTGAGCAACATGGTAAATCCATGTATCTAATAAAACAAAAAAACAGTAGACCAGGTATGGTGGTGGGTGCCTGTAGTCTCAATTACCTGGGAGGCTAGGCAGAATTGCTTGAACACAGAAGGTGGAAGTTGCAGTGAGCCAAGACTGAGTCACTGCCCTTCAGACTGAGCAACAGAGACAGACTCTGTCTACAGTGTGAGTGTGTGTGTGTGTGTGTGTGTGTGTGTGTGTGTGTGTATGTGTTTCAATTTTAAGTCATTCCTTTGCTCCCACATCTAAGATAGGTTGTTAGAAGCCAGGCAACAACCTGAATGCTTTGCTGCTTAGAAATTTCTTCCACTGGGAAACAATACCCTAAGTCATCACAATTAACTTTAAACTTCCACAGATTCAAAGGGCATGAACACAGTGCAGACAAGTTCTTTACTAAGGCAGCACATGGGTGACCTTTGCTCCAGTTCCCAATAAGTTTCTCATTTTCATCCGAGACCTCATCAGACTGGACTTCACTTGACAATATCACTATCAGCATTGTGGTGACAACCATCTAACTAGTCTCTAACAAGTTCCAAAGCTTCCCTCATCTTCCTGTCTTCATCTGAGCCCTCCAAATTCTTCCAACCTCTGCCTGTTACCTCATTCCAAAATTGCTTTATCATTTTCAGGTATTTGTTTAGCAAGGCCCACCTCCTTGGGACCAACTTTCTATATTAAGCATTTCTTATATCGCTACAAAGAAATACCTGAGACTAGGTAATTTATGAGAAGAGATGTTTAATTGGCTCACAGTTCTGCAGGCCTTACAGGATACATAGTATAGGCATCTGCTTTGGGGGAAGCCTCAGGAAGCTTCCAATCATGGCAGAAAGTGAAGAGGGAGCAGTCATGTCACATGGCAGGAGTGGAAGCAAGGGGACAAGGAGGTGCCACATATGTTTAACAACCAGATCTCATGAGAATTTAGTATTGTGAAGATGGCATCAAGCCATGAGGAACACACCCACATGACCCAATCACCTCCCACCAGGTCCCCCCAGCAACATTGGGGATTACAGTTCACGGCCTATGAGATTTGGCAAGGCCATACATAAAAACAGTATCAGTTAATAAAACTTTCATCTGGCTATTGTCATAGAAAAGAGTTCTTTCAGGCTTATGCAAGTGTAAAGCAGCCATTTACTTGCAGGTAGTTTTGGAACACTGTTTTTGAGCTGACCTGCTTGTCTGAACTTCCCTCTGGCCTACCTTAGACTTCCTCTTTCCTTCTAACATGTGTACTTCCCATCAGTAAAGTCATTTCTTCAGGTTTAATTCAACAAGGCAAATATTTATTGAGTGCCTATTGTAGGCACATCCTCAGAAATAATGTTTTAAATGTTCCTTGCATGGGAGCGAAGTTCTTAGCCATCTCATATTTGTCTATGAGAACAGACTTAATGTAATGTATTGGAGTATTCTCCTTGCATGAGCTATATTTGATGGCTACAAACTCAGGACCCAAGTCACTCTGCCAAAAAAAAAATATAAATTGAGCTGAAAGCCTAGTCATGCAAGAAACTGCATTTCCATTTGATCCTAAGCAGATAGCTACAGATAAAATGTTAAATACCTCCACAGCTAGCTGTTCTTATCTTATGTAAAGCACTGATTTACAGAGTGTGAGATGAATACATAACTGACTATTCCAGTAACTACCTCTTTTCCCCTGTAACATGTAGATCACCAGACTCTCCCTCTTTCCCCTTCAGCCAGCTTTTCCCTTCTGAATATTGAAGCCCTCAAAAGTAGCTTCGGAGAAAGGCACAGACCACAGATTCCTTCTGTGATTCTGCATTTTTTTCTTTCAGGTATTTCCTTAGCCTTGGTAAAATAAACCTTTAAACTGACTGAGATCTGTCTTAAGATACCTTTTGGTTTACAGCAAGTTTTAATGTTTAAGGAAGGAAAATGATCACTCCGTATCTGTGTGATGTGGTTGGCTGGGAAGGGCAGGCAGACAGCAGTCATGGGAGGGGTTTCCTTGAAGTAATGAAAACCTATAAAAGATGCTAAAAGCAAGAACCTCAGTAGAGGCCTTGCAGAATCACTGCACTAGGCCAGTGAGTGTGAGATAAATAAGAAAGGCTCTGTGAAGGGGTGGGTGTGGCTGAGCCCCAAGGAATATGGCATTGCTCAGCAGAGTAACACTTCTTTTGATCTTCATATCTTCATATCAAGCATTAGAAAAATATTATGAAAGAGGCCCTGCATAAGAGAATATTATCAATTGTTAGGCTATGCTGGGAAGCTGCAAGTTTTTGTGTGGGTGTAAAACTGCAGAAGACACAGCCCAGGGAAATTCCAGAGCTCCCAGTAATTCACCCCTTTGCCACCTCCCACCTTTCTTATGGGTTGCAATTGCTCCCTTTGCTTCATTTGCCATTCTAACATGCAGATTTTTGTTGTTATTGTTGTTTGAGACAGAAACTCACTCTGTTGACCAGGCTGTGGTAGACTGGCATAATCTCAGTTCAACGTAACCACCACTCCTGAGATCAAGCAATTCTCATGCCTCAGTCTCCTGAATAGCTACAGGCACACTTCACCATGCCTGGCTAATTTCTGTACTTATAGTACAGACAGGGTTTTGCCATGTTGGTCAGGCTGATCTTGAACTCTTAGCCTCAGAAAATCCACCCACCTCAGTCTCCCAATGTGCTGGGATTACAGGTGGGAATCATCACACCTGGCCTAACACGTAGTCTTCATTGGTGCTTTAGGACTTTGATTCCCTTGCTAGAGTGTACAACTACCTCTGGACATGCCGGTCATAGAACTCTAACACTTTGGTTGTAGAGATTGGTTCAGAGGGCAAGCATGTGGCCTAAGGCAATGCAACCATAGACCCTCACCAGATGTTTTTAAACTGAAATAGGAGACATACACTCTTTTTCTCAGACTGGGAATATGTGAGTCTAGAAACTTGAGTAGTCAAGGTTCCTGCCTTATGGAGAAAGTCAGTCTGAGAGATCAATACTGACACGATGAGATAAACAAAAGCAGAAATGGAGAGTGAGTCCTGCTCATCTGTGGTTTCCCAAGTCAACCATTACCCTTATTTCTAAAATGGTAATAAGCTTGGCATATTCAAGGAACTGAAGCCGAGTGTGTAAGAAGAGAGTGAAAGCAGATGAGGTTGGAGATCTCAGAAATAATCAAAGTTTTTATAAGTTAATAGATCTCAAAAATGGCTGAAGATTAAAATAACCTGGAGGGTGTCTAGAAACATCATTATAGACTTTCATTTATAGTCATGGTATATTTTGTAATTCAGAACAAACTTCACTCTTCTATTCAGTATTCTAGCAGTGTAATAAAATAAGTTTTTTAAAAAAGCCATCCAGATTGGAAAGAATTTTTAAACTGTCTCTATTTACAGATGACATGACTGTCTATGTAAAAAAAAAAAAAAAAAAAAAAAAAATCCAGCAGATTCCACAAAACGGCTACTAAAACTAATATC